GCACTTCCGCCAGCTCCCTCAGTACCCTTGGGTGGATCCCATCCGGCCCCATCGACGTGTGTGTCTAAGTGGTGTAGCAGGTCGCTAACCATTTCCCCTTGGATTATGCGGGGCTTCATTCTGCTCCCTGTCCCTGTCTTCCAGCTCAGGAGGCTGGGTACCTGAACAACAACTGGTCTTATATAAATACGTGTTTTAGGGAGTTTGAAAAGTATTCTGGTGTTAAAAGAAAATAAATGCCAGTTGATGGTTTGGGGTTTTTATTAATTCTTTTCTGATACAGTATACTAATTGAGTCCTTTGGCAAATTCTTAACAACAACTGGTCTTATATAAATACGTGTTTTAGGGAGTTTGAAAAGTATTCTGGTGTTAAAAGAAAATAAATGCCAGTTGATGGTTTGGGGTTTTTATTAATTCTTTTCTGATACAGTATACTAATTGAGTCCTTTGGCAAATTCTTTGAAAATTGTTACTGAAAACGAAGCAATAAGATCCCAGGAACTTTTTCACGAATCCACTGAAGTCAGTAACTCAGGCTTCCGTTTTGTCATCTTAATTGCAGAAGTTTATCTCCTGCTTCTATTTCTCTTGTATCATGGTGGTATGTTTCAATTTCCTTTTCTTTAGCAATATCTGAGTTCCAAAGAGTGCCCAGAACACTTGAAAAGTACACTTTTGAAGAGTATCTTTTTCTGCAATTAATGTCTCTAAAATGTAATATCCATTCAACTAAGAATCCAGTTGGGAACCAGACCTCTGTATTCAAATGTTAAACTCATTTCTGTTTTTATGTTAAGACTGAATTTGGTTTTATATTGGTTGTGATTCCTAAATACAGCACTAAGCTCACACGGTTCACCACAAGGCTTCTGACTGTAACACTAGTGTTGTTTAAGGAGGTGGTGGAGTTGTTGCCATTCCAACTCATTTTAAGGCAGTCAGCTTCACCTTAAACAGTCACCCACTCCACTTTCCCCAGTCCCCTGTCATGCTGAAACATTGCAGCCAAACTACAAGCTTCTTTTCAGTGGAGAGGAGCCAAGAATTAAACTTGTTCCTTGTACAACACTAGTCTGTAACACCAGGTACAATACAATAAAACTCCATCATGCTAACCTACTACTCCCCACTAAAGGTATTAGCTACAAGGCTGAGCTTGTGCCACGTGAAAAGTTGTAGCCAGTTTTTCTGAAAGCAGAGGCAATTAAAGTGAGTCCTACAGCCGTGCATTGTACAGTGTTTTAATGCTGTAAAAAGAACTTGAACAAAAATGCTTTTGGCTTCCTTCAGTCCTACCTAAAGGACTTGAATAAATCTCTCAGATGATTGCAGCATTACAAGCTGTTTCAGTTTGTTTTGTTCAAGATAGAGACGAGGAAATGTTTCACATTTTCCACCAATCTGTTTTGTATATGTGATCTGTTTTCCCCTATAGCGTGACCTGCTTTCAACAGTTTGGAAGGATATGCAGCTCTTTTGCTCACAAGCATACTCTTTTACTCAGGGGACTGATAAACACAGTCAGTACTTCTGAGAACAACTACGCATTGACACTTAGCTGTTTTAGTGCAAATTGCATGGGTAAGAAACCATGCCTGCTGTTACCAAAATCAGTGTGGGATTTAGTCCTACTCAGGCACTGGGGCAAAGAAAGGGTGTATCATTTTGAAACAGCAAATGTGCAGCCGAGAGTGTTGTCTAACTTGTCTATTCAATCCAATCTCTTTTTCTATACTAGATCCTCCAGGAGTTAGAATACGGTCCGTCAGTAGACTGGTGGGCTCTGGGTGTTCTCATGTACGAAATGATGGCTGGGCAACCCCCCTTTGAAGCTGACAATGAAGATGATCTCTTTGAATCCATCCTTCACGATGATGTCTTGTATCCAGTCTGGCTCAGTAAAGAAGCCGTCAGCATTTTAAAAGCAGTGAGTCTTCCATTACTTGCTTTCCTCTTCCTCCTCATGGTTTTTTGGGGGATTGTTTTTTGGGGTTTTTTTTCCTTGATTAAAATTGAATTTGCTGAAAGTTGTTGAGAGCAGTCACCGCTGGGAGTTCAAGCACAGTTCAGAGTGCCACTGTTAGGATAATGGGGCCTGGGATAAATTACACCACTTGTGGGAAAGGAACAGAATGTTTGTATTCCACGCAGTTGTACACTGTATAAATCTGTGTACCGCAGATTCATGTTTCAGGGAAAACCCAACCAACTAGAACTGTGCTATCACTTTGACACTTTATATGCCGCATGTTCACTAGAGTGGGGGAAGCACTACGTAATTAAAGAAACAATGTTTTTATTTAAGCCACTTGTAAAATTTCCTGTCCCTCTGCCTTTCTTCCCCTATCATCAAGATGGATTGAAAGCCCTTTATTACAGCTGCATGTTCTATTTTATAGTTCACACATAACACTTTGATAAGCAGTCTTACTCTAGTGTAATTGTTTCTGCCCTGGTTGGTGTTTTTCAATATGAGTAGTGACTTGACAGAAATCTGTGTCACCAAATGCCACAATTTTTTTAATTACTCAAAATGTGCCACTGAGCGATTTCAGGTTTTGGACTACCTTTCTAAAGTCAGGTTTACTTCATTAACATGACACTGACATAAATTCTTTCTTCTGTGCTAGTATCATCCTAAAATAAAAAGCAAAACAAAACAGAAGCAGTATGCCAATCCCCATAGTTTGAAACCTGAGGAGGATTTCTGGCTTTAAAAAATAACTTGTTTTTTATTCCAGTTTTCCACCTTCTTTGAAAGTGGAAAATTTCTACCTTTCCACTTTATTTTTCTTTCAGCATCTGGAATAAGGGAGACTTTCGATTAAGAGGGCAGCTGGTAGTGTAAAGTCCTGCAGAGATCTTCATACAGGGTTACGTTTTGAAATTATATATAAAACTTGAACAAATTCTGATTTTAACACCAGTGGACAGGTAACACATTCTGCAGAAATGCTCATCTTGATCTTTTAATAAAAATATCTTCAGGCTCATTCTAGCTGAGAGAGAGAGATGCTCTAGCAGATGATTCAAAGCAGAAGTCAAAGTTAACCTCTGAATTGTTTGCTGGAGCATCTCTTTTGCTCCATTCACTGTAGTGAGAACACAGAGGATTTATTAAAACTGACCTTTATACATATTCTCCCTTCTCCCTCCAGATACCTCTCTGATGACTTTTTATTAGCTGACATGATACTTTCATGTGTCCGGTTTTGTTCCCAGACCCTTCAATTATTTTCAGTTCAGCAATTCAAACGTATGGACACGAGCTGCAGAGTTCAGGCTGATATCCAGGGTTCAGGGGTTATTTTGGCGTATTGTAGAGAAAAGGTTGTTGTCAATGTTCATATCTGCATCTGAATTTCACTGAAGTCCAGGAGATTTTCTGTAGTGTTTTGGTTTCACAGTCTGTAAGATCTGTTCCTTTGCCATCCACAGGCTCCTTCAGTGAATCTACGTTAACTGACCTTTCTATTATTCTCGAATCGTGGAAACATTTGTTGGAGGGGAGAAGTTAACTGATAACTCTTGGTTAAGTGTGTAGTATGACAGCCATTGTAACTATTAGGAGAAGGTGTTTGTTTTACAGAGGAAAGGGAGAAACAGATTTGACAGTCAGAGCCTTACTGTTATCTCATTTGTGGTGCAAGTAGTGAGATGTCTAACCGTTAATGTTATACACGTCATTCATTAACCACACACAAATGCAGACACAGAATTGGGCTGCAGGTGTAAGCTATGTATTTTTGTGCATGTAAGTGCAAGGTTGTTAAACCCTCTAATTTCTTTTAAAGCTGACTTTGCCATAAATTTTCATGAGGCTGTTTTCCTGGGTCAGCATTTTGATAAGTAGGCATGGTGGTTTGTATTTTGCTGTAGTTGTAGCTTTTTTTTTTTTTACATCTTTCTGTCTAAAGTTAATCCTTAATTCCATTATAAACCTTAAAAAGAGAGTTGCATCCATTAAATAGATTCACACTATAATAATAGGTTATTCCTCATTGGGTAAGATGTCTTCATTGGCATAAATTGATAGAATTTAATGGAGCTGTGCCAGTTTACACCATAAAAAGAAAACATTTTGTTACATTCAGCAACCTGCTGCTTATGCCACTATGGTATGAAACATGTTTGAAACTTGTGTTCTTCATCTGATACTTGTCCACATTCTGTTAAATGAAGAACAGGAAAAACAGAGGAAAGAAAGAGGCGTCGATGTATTTTACTGCTGAATGGTAGCAAGGGATTAACTTTGGAACACTTCGTTTCCTCACATTGTGCTTTGAGACATGGGTTTTATTCTTTAGAAACTGTGTATTTTTACACTCCTCCAAACAGCATGTCAGGAAAGTTTAATAAGAAGACATTCTCTTGTATTAAGTAACAATGTTTTCTTATTTTCTGAAGAAACAGTTTTCCTGTTATTTCCAACAAAGCACTAAGGAGGATAATTTTACAGCTCAGTATTGCAAGGCAACACGTTGCTTACCCCATGAAATCCCACAGATCTTATTAGTCCTGTTTCTGTGAATTGACAGGAATTGCTATTTAAAATTCTTTCCTGTCTGTTAAGGAAAACAATTTGTCATTGAAATTAGCTCTGTGTTTCTTTGCAAGCAGTGGAGAGAGGTTATGTCTATGGTGTGTGTTCCCTGTGTACCCAGGTGACAGAGATCTCTGGGTACAGAAGCAGCACTCAGTTTTTAAGCTGTGCCATTTATTTCAAGAAGCAACATTTTGGGAGCCTGAGGATCCTTGATTCGGGCCCCAAGTTGCATGGCTCTCTCAGCAACCTTTTGTCCTGTTGTCATTTAAGTCAGTAGGAACTCTGATCTTAAAAGGCTTCTCTTTTCATAAAAGGAGGTTCCTGCCTTAATATGGGAAAATAAAAAGGCAACACTTACGGCTACGGCTGTCAGCTCCATTGGCAACCATCTCATCAACACAGTACAGTTAACAGCTGTCTCTGCCCTGACAGTTGCATCATTGTTGATGCTGTTGATAAACAGGGAATAAATGTCATCTTGTGCTTAAGAAGTAGGAGGTGAAAAATGAATATTTATTGCAGGAGATGAAATTTATAGAATTAAATGTCCACTTCAGAAGTTCGAGATTATTTCGTCGTATTTGCATATGATCATTTTTTTTGTTTCTTTAAAGTATTCATTCTTAAAATTTGTTCTCCCTCGTCATCCATTTCCAAGTTTCATGAAGTTTGTGAAGTACAGTACTAAACTGTACCAGCTAGTCATATTTTCCTGGGCTTCTTAAAAGTGACACGTTCTGATGTTTTCCCTACCTCTGGCTTAAAACAAAGCTAGAGCGTGGCAGATGCTAGGATCAGATTTTACTTCTTTGATACCTGGATTATACGGTACAAAAAGCATATCCTGTAGTTTCCATGTTCTGTTTCTGTAAAATGTGTGGCTGCTGGTTCCTGGCCTGCTCGCTCCAGTCCCGGAGGTGAAATAAAGCAGAGGAATGCAGGAATGCGTTTTGTGGTTTTCCAAGAGACCTCACCAAAGCACAGTAATCCTTTCAAAACCTTTGTTTCTCCTGCCCATAGAAAATATGGCCTGTAGTTTAGATATGACTTGTCCACTTGCAAAAGAACTTGCGGAGCAGTTGAACACAAGACCAAAGAGAAGGATCATCTTCGGAGCGGTGTATATGTCAGAAACCATAGAGAGAATTGCCTTGCTGATCTATGTTATATCTTTAAAATGATAGCAATGGTATTCTCCTGTGGATGGTTGATCTAGCTATCTAAAACCATCTCAAGGGCTTCAGTAGCTACTTATCTAATGACTGGAGTACTAAAGCAAGGGTATGCATTGGTATAATGGTACCTAGGTTAAAAAGGCGCTGAACAATTACCACATTTTGTTTCATTTGTGCACTGTTTTTTAACAAAATGTTATAATAATGTCTGAATGTGAAGTTACAGCACAGCATGATAGGTTAAAAAGGCACTGAACAATTACCACATTTTGTTTCATTTGTGCACTGTTTTTTAAATTTACAAAATGTTATAATAATGTCTGAATGTGAAGTTACAGCAAAGTTTGGAATAATTCTATAATATAAGTGTGCATGTGTGTATGAGAATAGCATTTGTTGCTACTTGAATTGCAAGGATTTTGTGTCCACATGCATTAGGAAATAAGTAGAGCAATTGCTAATAAAAGAAGGAAGAAAAAACAGAGCAAAATCAGGAAAAATATTATCAGCTGTCATCATTTGATATCAATGTCTTACACTGGTTGTACAGCTTTTTGCTGAAAGGAATAGCAAGAGTTTAAAAGTGAGAAGTTTAGAAATTGCCACACCAGAGGAGACCAGTTAGTTCCAGTTGCTGTCACTAATGGTGTACTGAAGATGAAAGGGAAGGTGCAAGTTATGTCGTGGAGTTTCTCAAGGGAAGCTTTCTGCTGGTACTGATCGCTCCATGTATTTCCTGAAACGTATGGACAGAACGCTTATAATTCACATAGCTGCAGGTGCTGTTCATACTTGTGTTAGAATAAAATCCTAGAAATGAGTGAGGAGGTTATGGCTTTTCATGTGTCTGCTTGAATGGAGTGTATTATTATGCAAATACATAGCCAAAGAAAATAAGCAACAGTAAGCATAATATGTAGCCCCTATCCCCCAAATTAATAGTTAAGATAGAGCAAATAAGATAAAATAAGAACTATCCTGACCATCTATTTGGAAGTGTCTCTGGGGGCGTTAATATTTTCTTTCTTTCCTTTAGTATTTTTGGCCAAAGCTGGAACTAGAAATGCTGAAAGAGAATCTGTTCCTGTAGCACTCCCAGCCAGATGAAATTAGGAGGTCTCGGCAATCAGTTGAAAGAGCTTCCTGCAGGAAACTTACACTTCGGAGTCTCTGAATCTTCTAGTTTGGCTGGAACCTCTGAAATTTGGAAGGGCATCCTTGTTGCTCTTACAGAAAAAATAACCTTCTGAAAGGGGACTGTTTCTAAAAACTAGGCATTAGGAATTGGAATGCGTAATTGAACTGCAAATGGTTTCCAGCCATGGCCATTCATGTTTTAACTTTTTCCTTCTCTCCCTCCTCCACCCTGTAGTTCATGACAAAAAACCCAAATAAGCGACTTGGCTGTGTGGCGTCACAAAACGGGGAAGACGCGATTAAGCAGCATCCGTTTTTCAAGGAAATTGACTGGGTTCTTCTAGAACAAAGGAAAATCAAGCCACCCTTCAAACCTCGGATTGTAAGTAGGAGTTTGCATAACATTCAGAGGAAACTTGGTTTGACAATTCTAGTTGTTGGCTTTTCTGAGACATGAGAGTACTTGATGCAACATTTGGGGGTTGAAATAGTAACATGAAAACCGTGCTGAAAAGATTGCCTTGTCATTGTTTCTGTGAAGGTAAGTGTCAGGAATAGATTTAATGCACAGGAAGATGTTCATGTTCAGTCACATAAACCATGAGAGGGTTCGAGGCCCTGTTTTAATTATTTTCCTGTGTTCCTAAAGATACCTTGATTGGAAGAGATTATTTCAGTTGGGTATATACTGTCTGTACTTTCTGTGTGAACTCTGCTACAGTCCTGCGCTGCCGATGGCCACTGGATTTTGTAGTGAAAGACAGAGGAAAGGATTTCTCATTAATAATATTTTAACTGAAGATGCTTGAAAAAACAGCTTCCTGGGGGAAAGAAATATACATCACAATTAGATAAATTGATGTACTTGCATTTTCCTAGGTAATAATCAAGTATTTCTATTTAAAGTAACAAAAATACGTAGCAGCCCCACATGCAGAAACTACAAAAGTCAAGCAAAAATACTTTACTTATTCTTGTCTTCCTCTGGATGAAAATATTTACAGTTCACCAAATGTCAGCTTTTCAGCTGAGAATATGTGCAGTAAATTTTGTGCTTGAACAGTACAAGAGGATAATTTTATGATAAAACCTTTGAGATTGATTTACATTTTTTGACTTTGCACATTCCTAGTTACAATGTTTGATTTGCCTGTAAATATGATCAAGGTACTTGTTTGCTTCTTTCTTTAGATAGTTTACAAAGGTATTTTTAAAAAAACAAAACAAAACTTTGGGCTCAACGCTGAATTCTAACTTAAATTTGGAGGTGAAAAAGTCCCCTCTGTCATTGCAGAATTGCCGTCTGTCGCATTTGATGCATTTACTTTTAGTCCAGTGAGATGCATTTCCCCAAGTTCCTTGTGTAGGCGGCGAAAGCGGGGCTGCCCGTCCAGAACAGGAGCCTGAGGCAGCTCATCCGAGTCCTTTCTTGGAGAAGCCTCTCTCTCTCTGTAGCTATTGACAACTGTAAGTGAAAGTTAGCCCTTGTGAATGTCTTTCTGGGAGTAATAGTAAGATATAGTGTTACCATATGGGGAAGTTTTTCTTAATATATTTCTTGGAGAATGGAAACCTTGTAATGTGGTAGCTACAGGCAGAGGGATGCCTGAGCCAGCCCCTCTCCTGGAAAAGGTCCAGCCAGCTGGGCATGCCGGCTCCCTTACCCTGCCGCCCAGCTCTGCTCTGGAGGTGTGGCCAGGTTGCACCTAGTGCCTGAGCTGACTTACAAATCTCTGCACTGGTGCAGGAAGTGTAAACCCCAAATTAACCCTATTAGTATCTATCTGAAGCCTATTTAATACTGTAAATAACTGCTTTCCAGTCAGGTTCCACAGCCCTCGGATAGTTGCAGACAGCCTTAGTCGGTGTTTAGCCGAGTTGCGTGTGTAGCTCTTTTCCCGTTTTCACGAGAATTTGGCCTTTGGTCTCGCAGTAATTTTTGTTGCTTTGCTCAGTATTCATCAACGTTTTGGTAATACAGTTATCAAATCAGGATGCACAATTCCAAAATCATTTTCACTTTATGTGTGCATCTAGTAGGTCCCAGATTCCTCACATCTAGTCTGTTTATGGGCTGTTTTCCTTTCCTGATCAAGATGCACAGTCCCTTTAACAATAGGTATTTTTACGAGGCCTTTCTAATTTTTGTAAGTATTCCTACTGCAGCAGTCCTTCTTAAAAGTCAGGAGGGATTTAGTATGTCAGACATTTTTATTCATTGTTGATATAAATACCTTCTACCTTCTCAGTGCAGCTTCTTTCCTTTCTGGTAATTATTTCACTGCTGTTATATTGTAAAGCCATTCCTATTTTATTCATTCCTGTTGTTTTGTTCCTTTTCTCCTCTTCTGCTTCCTTTAACGGTATTTTAGTTGGATATTTCAGTTTTAGTAGTGATTTCAGATTATTTCAGAGTAGTCCTTTGTATAATTTTCAAGACAGCTGCTTGGTCTTTAATAATTGTTAGGGTGATTTTATACATCTTTTTTTTCACCTTTTCTCATTTTTCTTCAGGCTGATTCTATAATGTCGGATTTTCATACTACTTCTTTCCATATTGTATATGCCAACTTTCTTTATTCTACCAAATTTGATTCCTGCAGTCTAGTAGTTCTGTATGCTTGGGGTTTTTTTTCAGAACTCTTTTTTTTTATGGTGGTGAATTCAGATAATATGTAGTCTATGTTACAGTCATCCCTATTATTTTCATGTTCTCAGTCTGCTCTCTCTAAGATATCTTCCCCAGTGACCTGGTCCTATCAACTTTTACTGATAACTTTTCTACGCTTATAGTTACACTATGTTTATGATCCATCAGCTGTTTTGTACCAACTGTATAAATTTTGCAACTGTTTGGATTTTGTTGTTGTATAGAAATCTTCGACAAGATCATACTGAAATTTTTACTTGTCCTCTTAAAATTGAACGATTTATTAGCTGGAAAGTGAAGTGTGATATATATCTAGGCTGGAGAGAAAGATCACACAAACAAAATCTAATTATTAATTATGCAACTTCAGAAATGGTAAAGGAATCTAGGACAGTAAATTTCAAATGCTGAAAAGGTGATTTTGGATACTTGCCAAGCTAGAAGAGATTGCACTCACTTTGAAAAATACAGGAAAAAGGGAAGAAAGTGAACACTAATGAAATAAAGTCTACTTTAAAATCTAGATAGAGTTCCTCTCTAAATTCAGGTGTGGGTGTAGCATTGAGATTCATTGATTCAAATTAACAAGCGTAACTGTTCCATAGCTATGGAATAACTATGGAAAAAACATAACTAATGCCTGTGTTTGTAATGTTTTCTGGTTTTTAATATTTTTCAGTATTGATAAAGGGCTGTTGATTATTTAAAAGTGACTTGTAATGTTAAAAGGGGATTAAAAAAATATTTTTAATCTTATGTTCAGAGAGCTTAGATCTGTGAAAATAGCTATGAGAAGAGAGGCCAGATTATTAGTTAGAAAATAGACATTCTTGCATGTGATATGTGAGTGTACATATGTGTAGGGAAAGAAGCATACAATGCATATATAGTCATTTGTGCATTCAAATTGAGTTTTGCATGCACATACAAAATTTGGCTCATGCAAGAATGCATATGTTTATACAGGTATTCATCTATTTTCTGACCAACCGTTGAGATGACTAAGGGGGGAAATTTTATAATTACTATATCATACACACTTACAAAAAAACCCAAAACATAGGGGCTATTCAAATGAGCTCTGGGCAATATAAAACACTGACACTAAACAAGTAAAGTCATTAGGGAAAATGGTCGAACACTGAGGTCCCATCAGACAATGGAATAATCTGCCAAGGGAGGTCACCGAGGTGCTAGCGTGGAAACAAACCTTGCTTCAGTTCTGCCTCACTACTCCACTGATCCCAAAAACACGTGAGTTCCTTGGTTAGCACAGCCGTCTTCCCTTTCTGTTACCTTTTATCCTTTCTCTGCCATAATAGATTTTCTGAGGAGCTATATTACATGGTACTGTAAGGCCTGTGCTTCTCCATAGTTCAGGTATGTCTCTTCAGCTCTGCCAGCCTTAAATCTGAATTTTTCAACTGCACTTGGAAGAAACACTGCATGGCTATTTATTAGCCAGACTTTTGAGGGTTTTTTTTTAAATCTCATTCATGCTGTGAACGTATGCAAACATATTCCTTATTATACCAGAAATATACCGTTAATGTCTTTCTAGTTTGTACATGATTTGATTATTCTAGTGATGTTTTGGAAGCTGAAATTTCTTGCCTAACTGTTTTCAGCCTTGGAATGAAAATTACTGAACTCCAAAAGGTCCTTGAAAAACTGACTGTGTTTTCTGAAAGCTTGCAAGAGTGCCCTGGGCAGAGCACTTATACAAATGGCTGAGGTTTAGATTGCTAAGCAGTGACAGGAGTGCCACACCAGGTTGTGCTACGTAGGGACAATGGAAGCAGATTTGGTGGCCCTGAAACCTGCTGTGAAGGATCTTTGGCTGCTCTTCCAGTTTAGTGACTTGGAATAGAGAATACGAAGGGGTGAAAATGCACTGGGGCCCAGTCCTATGATGCATGTTATCTACCAGCCCTTCCTTTCATAAGTCCAGAATTATGAGGCTTTTCAGTGGCAAAATTAATTTTTTTATGCATATACTATGGTTTACTATACTGAGGGTTTCTCCCATGTAGAGCTATTATAAATGTTAAGCTACTATAGGAAAAGTAATAGCTCTGGGGCATGTACATTAGAAATCAAGGAAACTTTTGAACAGCTATGAAGAGGATATTTGTTACATCTAAGCTCCAGTGACCTCAACAGTATCTCTTGAAGATCATTTCCTCTGTTCTTAAAACCTAATTCTTAGAATTTCACAGACTGTCTTGAAATTTTCTGAATAATGTTATTCTTCCCTGCTGCTTTAAATGCAGACATGAATATGTAATTGCATATGCAAGAAGTAAGTACAGTTTTAGTGCAGACAGGTATCTTGCAGACAGATATCTTTTCTCCAGAGCAATTGCTGTGAGACAGAAATCTCTTTGAAGCACTTTATTCCTATGTTGAGATATTTTGTCTCATGTATTCTTCCTGGAATTTTATTCCATTTGGAGAATGACATTTCCCTAATCAGTAGCCATAACACCAGGCTACGGTTTGCAACATAATTTATTGCCTAAGAACCACAAAAGCCTTGATATAGTATTGAATGATTCTCTGTTCTACATCTTTCTTTGTCTCCACGGTTATGGTCCTGGCTTGGTTGAATTGGTTATTTCCATTTTCAAAGTGTCTTTGCCATAATACAAATGAAAAACAGGGTGCAGTAGGTTAATTTCTTACCAAAGTCATTGATAGGGTGGTAAGTGTGGTAGATCTTGCTTAGTAAC